TAAACAATCTGCAGCCGTTGATCAGAAACCAGCCAAACTTTGAAAAACAAAGTTAACTGGTATTTATTTGGGTGACAGAGCTTCTCCTCTCTCTATGACATCATGATGGTCTGTCCTCTGCTTTACCCCCCCCCCCTTACCCAGCACAGGAAGTGCAGAGACACCACCAGGCTCTTCAGGCAGCCGACACAGGAGCTGTTCATCCTTCCTGATCTGCTGCTCTGGGAGATCTGGAGGGAAAATAAAGTCGTCTCAGCAGAGCGTCTGTTTGGTGTGACAACAGCGGATGGCTCTGAGGGCCGAGGTGTTAATCATTATTATCCCTTCTTATCAACACAGCCGCTGTTTGTTACAAGCTTGTATCTGCTGGAAGCTGCTTCCAGATTTATCTTGTTTTCCAACTCGCCAACATTACAGGAAAAGATTGGAAGTTTGAGAATGTTTGATTTTCTTTTTCTCGTTCTGAACATCAAGATGTTTCCTGCTGGGATGAGCCGAGTTTTGGTAGAATAATGTCTGCGTTTATGATTTATCCAAGTGTGTCAGAACTTACCTTAACTACAGGGAATGATCCGCCGGCGTCCAAGTGGCTCCAGTCTGCAGCATTCCTCAGAGACTGAGAGCAGGCAGGAATGGCAGAGGGACGGGCTAAAGGCTTTATCAATCCAGTATTTACAGAAGCAACAAAGAGGAGGTGGAGGCGTGCCCCCCCCCCCCGCTGGAAGGCCAACCTGCAGCAGGGCTGAGATACTGAACACATGACGACCTGTGAAATCCAGAGAGGCTCGGGCGATTCTTTCAACAGCCTTCATAGAAATGAGTGATTTACAAAACTAGAATAAAGGAAAGAAATCGATTCCAGAGCTTCCCAGGTCCCCACATCCCAGGATGACATTTCTATAGATTAAAGAGGAAAGGTTCTGAGAAAAAAGGTGAAAGAAGAAGCATTCAGAGCCATTCTCCCCTGATGCTTCAAGGAGAAAAAGATGGAAACAGGTTAGAAGTTACAGGTGTTGTTCTTCCTTCTGGCTCAGTTTGTCTGAGCAGGTGTCTACTTCATCCTCCAGCTCCTCCTGATCCAACTACAGCAGGAAGACAGCTCCTCCAAAACAGCAGTTCTCCATCTAGTTCAGCTCAAAAACACTAAACTGATCCCAAAATTAAAAGATAATCATCAATGACATCAGTGACTCCCTTCCATGGGTCAGTGGAGGAGATCAGACAGTACTGGTGGACAGCAGCTTCTTAGTGTTAGGCTGGGATCATCTGGCTGCTCACGCCTGGCCGCCTTCATTTGGCCGCCTTCATTTGGCCGCCTTCATTTGGCCGCCTTCATTTGGCCGCCTTCATTTGGTCGCCTTCATTTGGCCGCCTTCATTTGGCCGCCTTCATTTGGCCGCCTTTGTTTGGAACATTGCAAAAATGAGCAATCTCCTGTCCAGGGGTGATGCTGAGAAACTAGTCCATGCATTTGTTACTTCAAGGCTGGACTATTGTAATCGGTTGGTATGAGGTGTGGACCGCTGGGCCGCTGACTGGACCGCACCTCAGCAGAGAGGAGGGGGGCTGGTGGACGGTAACAGACCACCCATGTCTTCTGGAAGTTCTGGGGGCGGCACTGTAGTCGAACAAAATCCCGGACGATTTTGAAATTCCCCCCAGACATTTTTTCTAGGTATGAAAAGTAGGACATGTCTGGGAAAAAAGAGGACGTCTGGTCCCCCTACCATATCAACAATCTGATGTTTCAGTGAGTGAGTTCTTGTTGCTATGATGCGTCTTTGCTCAGCAGCTTGGCTCGTTGTGAACCAACCAATCAGAGCACAGCTCATCTAAATATTCATGATCAAACCATAAAAGGAAGAACAGCTGTGGTTTCATTCTAGGGCTTTTAACCAGGCTGCATTAGGGCTCATAGAACAGCTAATAGGCCATTTTCAGTCCAGCCAATGTTACACACCCTATTAGAGACCTGAAGGACCAGATACCCTATAGAATCATTCTATCACCCTATTAGAGACCTG